CACACACACACACTCTTTTTAAATAAGCCACAACATTTTTTCTTAGCTGTCATTAAGCACTTCTTTATATTAGACACTAACATGGAGAAGGTGCTGAATCTAAATCTAATTTTTTAATGATTTCAATGCTGGGGTCTTTCTTTAGAGAAGGATAAAGTTGTCTCCATTGCATTAAACCCATTATATGTATTAGGAGTTGCAGGCAGCCACTGTGTAGCACCCAGTGATCAACTCCAAATATAAACCAGTGCCTCAGTCAAAGACATAGTGAAAGAAGAACATGTAATTTTCTGCACAAAGGGGCGCCAACATCCAGCCTTGCAGTGCTGTCAGCGCTGAGAAGCATTTTGTTCATGGTTTCTTGAAATGTAGGAAAAAACTGAAGTGTTTTTAAAAAATCATTATTTGTGGAAACAGCTATGTGGGCGATGACATTGCATGATCATTGATTCGTTTTCTAATGTGCAATCAGGGAGAAAATTTTGTGTTTCAAACTGTTTTTATTTACATTCGATTTTTGCATGTATTTTAATGAAGATGCAGTGAAGAAAAATCATAACCATGATCACAAGCATTTCATATGAGTCTGAATGTGCAGTGGTTATCCTCCTCCTTGATAATTTGTGCAGTTCTCTGTAGAATACGGGATAAACGCTTCTGGTCCAAAATCCTGATTGATGATATTAATGTTCAAAGCACCGTTTGTGGGCTTCTGTGTGTCCACCCATAATTTATAAAGTGTTTAAGGTTGTCTGTCACTATATCATAGATACATGTGAAAAATAATGAAAATAAAAACTGGAATTATAAACTAAACTGTATAAAACACAAAGTTTGTGCTACTACCAGAAACACAAACATAGGAGCCAGGGGAAATTTCCCTTCTTTCATTTCGTAACAGTCATTTATGTGTCTGTGTCACATTCAGTTTCATCAATCAGTGATCAAACGCCTGCTTGACCTCGTTTCATCTAAAAGTCTCTTGTTTTTGTGCTTCCACCTAGCGGTTATTTTTGGAACGACATCATTACAAGAATCCATCGGTTAGTTTCACTTCCGTTGCTTTTGCAGCAGCAGTTAATGTTAGAAATGCCAAATGAAATGATATTAGCAACCTGGTGAATTCTTTTATTTCTTAAAAAATATATTATTAATCGAGCCCCTGCAGCTGCTTACAGGCTAGTGCAGCTCCGCATCAGCTAAAGCTGGCACCAAATTCTGGGCAAATAGATCAGAAAATTGCAAACTGCATTTCTGTGCATCTGTGGAATCGCTGAAAGCAGATCAAACAGCTCGCCTGACTTAAACCTAAAAATTCCCAGAGCTCATCATCTATCTAACTCTCTCCTTCTCCCCCTCTCTCCCTCATTCTCTCTCTCCTACAGAGACCCAGCCGGTCCGGCTGTCCTCCCTGCTGCCATGGCCGCGGAGGCTGCCGGTAGGAATGATGCCACGCGTGGACCTGCAAACAGCACAGAGATGGAGGTGCGGGTAAGATGCTTTTCAGGTAGTTTGGGTCGCTGTCTTTTCGCGGGAAGCCTCCAGGATCGAGGTGGTCCCTCGACAACAGGCCTTGGTGCGCCGCTGCAGAGATGGAGTTGGGATTTATTTTTTCATTTTGTGTCACATTTCAGGCCAGAGCTCCATTTTTCCCCGTAAAGCAGGGAGGGTGGATGAGGGTTATCTTTCAGAGGGGGGGCAGAGAGCGACCGCTGAGCATCGCAGCGCTGCTGCAGCGCTCACGTCCTGCGTGAAAGGGAGAAGTGAAAGCGCAGCAGCTGGTCGGCTGCAGAGGGCTCGGCTTATAAATAGCCCTTCGTTGACTTCTCTTTCACAATTTTTATTCGGCAAATGTGTCTTCCTGAATTCGGAGAGATTTGAATACGGCCGTCAAGTCTGTTTTCTTCCACTTGGTAGTGACGCAAATTGGCAACAACTTGGCAGGCAAGGTAGGAAATTCTTCCTGATCAACAGAGCAGAGCCTGTTATGAATGAAAAGCGAGCCTCTGCTGGGCTGATCGAGGTCATTATCGCAGTGTACAAGCAAAAGAGGCAATGTGGTGTTTTCATCAAGTATAGGTCTGTCCATCTGGTCAGATGGGTGGAAGGGTGGGATTGCTACAAAAAAAATGTGTTAGGAGAAAAAAAATCACGCTCTTAAAATATGTCATTAGTTTTTTAAAATTTTATTCCCAAGTATTATTTTGGGGACATCAGAAAACATATTGATGATTATGGAGCGCTACTGAGGTTATAGCACCTGTTAAAGTGTGTGTGTGTGTGTGTGTGTGTGCGTGCGTGTGCGTGCGTGCTATTGGCGTCTGTTCTTCATGCCTTCTTCAGTTGCTGGCTCTCAAACTCAACCTGTTCTTCCACTTTGCATTCATGCGGACGAGATGTTTGTGTCAGCTAATGTTCAAATGCTCTTTACCTGTTGACTTCAGTCTTTGGCCTCACTCCTCAAGTGCTCTTCATCCCTTCCACATCTCCCTTTTTCTCTACATCGTGTCCAATGGTGAGTTTGTGCTCCTTCAATCGGTTTGGTCTCCTCTAGATGAGGTTAGTTTGTCTTTTTTCCAGGCCTTTCTCATATTCAGTGATGGATAGTCAGCGTTTGTTTGCATTTTAAATCAATGTGTCATCTGAAGTGGTTACAGTTGCCACACAGAATCAGGGTGACATGTCTGCAAATGTAGGCTAAAGTGCCAAAGGTGAGGCTAACCAAATGCAGCAGATTATTCACTGCAGTCTCCCTAATCTCCTTGCTGGAAAATGAGAGATTCTGGATTAAAGGAGGGAGTTTGGTGGAAACCCGTGAAAGAACGCCGTTATTAGAGATTACTGGACTCAGGATTGTTTTACGACCCACATACTTTGTCTGATGCAGCTTTGTAGTGATGCAGAGAAACTAACAG